TTTGTGCAGGATTATTCTGATAGGGAAAGTGGTTAGAACGATAATAGGATGGGATTCAAAATAATGCCTGAGCTTTCTTTTCGCATGCACTAGCGAGAGTATCACCCGCTCTGCCTTTGAATAATGTCTTTCGGCCTCAGTCATTGTTTTACTAACATAGAACACTGGATATTGCTTCCCTTCTGCGTAGCGGATCAAAACGCCACTTGTTGCGATGCTGGATACTCCGAGATACAGAAACAGCTTCTCGCCTGACTCTGGAGCTGACAGTACCGGAAGGTTCTGCATATATTTTTTCAGAGCAGTTAACACTAGGCGTTGTTCATCTCCCCAGACCTGCCTGCTGTGGCTTCGGATTGTGTCAAAAAATAGCTTGCATCGATCTGACAATTTGGAAATGAAACGGCTCAGTGCAGCAATCCGTCTCGTAAGTGTTTGCACCTCTTTGATTGTCGTCGGCTTGGCATTCTTATTCAGAGCATCTGCTTGGGCAGGGCTTGCCTCGATCCCTCTGAGATTAACCACGTGCCCTAGGAATTGGCCTGAACTTATACCGAACGAGCACTTGGTCGGATTGAGCTTCATCCCATACCGCCGCAAAACATCAAACACGCCTCGAAGATGCTGCACATGATCGGCTTTCTTCTTACTTTTGACCACCATATCATCAATGTAAGCCTCCACTGTCTTCCCTATTTGTTCCTTGAAAATCTTGCTAATAAGTCTTTGGTAAGTTGCCCCGGCGTTCTTTAGTCCGAACGGCATAACCTTGTAGCAATACGTCCCGCGTTCAGTAACGAAAGAAGTTTTTTCTTCATCAGCGGGGTCCATGGGGATCTGATTATAACCCAAATAAGCATCTAAAAAGGTCAAGTGTTCATATCCAGTTGTTGCATCCACCATCTGATCAATCTTTGGCAGCGAGAAGCTATCCTTCGGACAAGCTTTGTTTAAATTGGTAAAATCAATGCATACGCGCCATTTCCCATTTTTCTTTTGCACAACGACCACATTCGATAACCAGTCGGGGTAGTGCACTTCTCTTACGAACCCTGCATCAAGCAGCTTATCAACTTCCTCGGCAATAATTCGGTTGTGCTCGGGGGCAAACCGTCGCTACTTCTGTTTTACAGGTTTTGCATTAGGATTAACGTTCAAGGAATGACAGGATACCGAAGGATCGATCCCGGGCATGTCCAGGTGACTCCATGCGAACACATCTGCGTTTTGAGACAAAAAATCAACTAATTCCTGCTTTTCCTCCTCAATGAGTCATTCCCCTATTCTGGTTGTCCGTTCCGGTCGGAACTGATTGATCTGCACATCAAGCAAGGGTTTTTCAGTCAAGCCCTCTGGTTCCTCCTCTCCGTTCTGCCTGGAGGGAGGCTCCTGTAATTGCTATCTCGGACTTACTGAACGAATGGGAGCTTTCCCCTTTCCGGCATGTTTCAGCGTTACAGAGTAACATTCTTTAGCTGCAACCTGGTCTCCATGAATGTCAATCACTTTGGTTCCGTCTGGTGTCAGGCATCTCATTACCTGATGCAGAGTGGAAGGAACACCTCGAATCCTGTGGATCCACCCTCTGCCCATCAGAACATTGTAAGAGGGATGAATTTCAACAACTACAAAGGTTTCCATCAAAACCCTCTCGGCAGCATGTACCGCTACCTCCACCGTGCCGACGGGCTCCACTCGCTTTCCATCAAACCCTACTAGCGGATTCCCGGTGGATTTCAGCTGATCCTGTTTGATCTCGAGCCGATCGAATGTATCTCTTGGCATGATGTTCGCACTACTTCCAGGGTTAATTAGAACTCTGTGCACCAAGCATTTGGCCACTGTCAAACTTACGACCAGCGGGTCCTCACGAGGGATCTGAACACGCAACAAGTCAGTCGCGTCAAACTTTATCTACGTTGATGCGCTCTGCTGGTTCAGAGTGTTTACACTGCCTATCATTCTCTTCATCCGTGCCTGACGAAGGCGTGTTCGAAGCAATTCATCTGATTCCTCAGCAGGTTCTGGCCGACCGTGAATTGCATTAATTACTCGAATTGGTTGCGTGTTGTGAGAATTCGATTTCTGATTCTTCTTTACATATTCCATTGGCCGGTTCTGCTCCACCGCTGGTCCTTGAATATAACTAGCGAACTCCCCTCTGGCTATCAGCATCTCTACCTATCTCCTTAGATTCCTGCATTTGTTAGTCTGGTGGCCAAAATCAGAATGAAATGCACAGTGTTTAGACTGATCCCTCTGTTCGAGAGGTTGCCTGATTGGTAAAGGAGGTCGGAACTTATCTTTATTTTCTTGGTACAGTCTTGCTAGGGTAACTTTCAATGGAGTAATCAGCTCTTCCTCTCTGGGCCTCTTCTCAGATTTCCACGAGGAGCGTTGCGGTTGGACTTATTTTTGCTTGATCTTTGCTTTGGTCTTTTCTTCCGTGGATATAACGGATGTCTTCCGAGCGTTTGCCACCTTTTCTTCTTCTGAGCGTACAAATCCATCGGCTCTTTCGTTGAGTTCATCCATAGTCCTCGGCGTGTTGACCACCAAACTTGTGTGGAACGGGGTGCCACGATTCATAGCCAGAATGAATGCTTGAACTGCCGTTGAAGGATGGCATTCAATAACCATGCTCTTGGTAAGGTTAAACCTGGTTAGGAAAGCCTGGAGACGCTCTTTAGCGTGTTGCTTCATTGTGAATAAGCTCGAAATATCTTTCGCTGGACGCTTGTTTCCATAGTATTGGCTTATGAACCGATCGCACAGGCTTCGGAAACTATCCACCGAACCCCTCGGCAGGTTCTTGAACCAATTCAGAGCTGGTCCGGCTAGACTCGTAGGAAAGCATTTGCACATCAAAGAATCATTCTCAGTGTTTGGAGCCATTTTCAGCTGGATGTGATACACATGATCGATCGGATCAGTCGTTCCGTCGAATAGAATGAAAACAGGCATGGAGAATTTCCTCGGACTCGGAGCATTCAGAATCTCATCGGTGAACGATGAATCCACCGTTCGAGCTGCTGAACAGAGTGTTTCATTCTCCCTCTGGAATCCCGCAGCTGCTCTCTGGTCTACTGATCTCCTCTCTGAGCTGTGATAGTCGAACGTCGTCATGGAAGGCCAGTAGGTCGGATCGAATGATCTATCCTCAACAAAGTCCTTGCGCCATGGAGGCATAGCTTTCTGACGAATCAACTCTGTTGCTTCACCTCGGCTAAGCGTTTCTTGATGTGGATCAAAAGTCATCGCTTCGTTTCGCCTGATCTGCTCACGCCGTGGATCCATGTGAATCGATCCTTCACGATCATCCATACGACGAAGATTTGGCAGCAGACCGTCTCGCCGGATTTCCTCGCGGTGAGGATCAACTAGATTGTTTTCAACCTCTTCACCGTGATGTGCTGCATCGGTACGTGCACCTTCTTCGCCTACCGGAAGTGGTCTTGGAATTACTGGAGCTTCTTGACGCTGTATTTCATTCCTTAAATCTGCATTTTCTCTCCGGAGAGCTTCGATCATGTTCATCAACTCATCGAGTTTCACTTGCTGGATGTTCTCAACCGTATTAGAGTTGTCACCCCCTATCATGATTCCGGATCGAAGCAAAGGCATGAATTACGAACTTCGAAACAGATCTAAGCGTTACCGATGCAAACTCCGCTAGATCTGGGCTTAACTTTACCTAATCGTGATCGCTGTTTGCTAGATCTGAACTTTTCTAGCTTCAAACTCGTCGGATTTGACTGCAACTGAGCAAATCGCAATTGCGTCCTTCCAAAGCAAATGCCTCAGAATCCACAATAATCAAGAATTCTCTCGGAGCAAACTACAATCTCACTGATCTGGATTCAACTTCCAAAAGTTACACTGCATATTCACAAACTCGATTGAACTAATATGGCACTGATCGGGCTCGAATTGATCTTCGTCCTCGTTTCCCACAGACGGCGCCAATTGAAGATACAATATTCAGTTTCATGTCTCTCACTCTAACTTTCTCTCTCTCTCTCTCTCTCTAGCTTCCTCTCTTACTTTCCACCCGTCCCGGTCTATTTATAGGCCATGACCCTCTTTTGCAGTCAACCAATTACATTGGGCTTATAGCCCAAAGTTCTCTTCCTTCTGGGCTGGGTCTTGTAATGGGCCTGACCTTCCTCGGTGGACCCCCCACGTTCGGCCCACTCCAGGGTGCTTTGACATGGATCCTTCTTCAATCATTCGACCCGATCTTGTTTCCGCGATCCATATCCGGCCCATGCCACTTGCCGCATCCTCAACTGCCCCCAACTTTTACGATAGGGGATGAAAGTGGTTCCCTGAGTATACAAAAGGGGTGTTAAAGTGCACTTAATTCTTTTATTATTATTTTTTTTTTTACCTTTGATTAGAGTAACAGAAAAACAAACTTTCTATATTTTTATTTTTTATTTTCATGAGTTTGCATATCTCTTGAATGTATTGAAATTCTTCTATAAAAATTTTATAAGAAATTAATTTTAAAAAAATTTAGAACACAAATTTCATTTAAAATTTTTGAATATTAACAAGACCGTGTTTTATTCTTTGAGAGTTTTTGTTTTGTTGAATATTTCTTTTAAATTTATTTTTTTAAGAGTTATTTTTGTTCTCCAAATATATTTATTTTTGGAGAGTTCTTGTTTAGTAGAAAAGCATCTTATAATTTGGTTTTAAAGGACTTAATTTTACTGTGTCACCTGAAGTTGGTGAAATATTCATTTTGTATTTGTCCAACCAAATAGCACAACTCGTTTTGAAATAAATTTAAAAAAACAAAATGAACCATTTATCATGTGTGTGAGCATCCACTTAATTTTGTAGTTAATTACATTTGCACTAATAAACTACTAAATTCACACAAAGTTATGGTAATTTAAATACATAAAAAGTTCACAACAAAGATTCAAACCCCCCAAAGGTAGTTTCACTCTTTGGAACCACGACACATTCGAAATAACACTAGCAATACGAAAAGATGAAAAACTATCATTTCCATTCATAAAAAAGGCATGATTCAATCAAACCCTGTCAGAGAATTTACACAAGCTAGCACCCTATTCTATCCTTCTGTTGATTTTCAACACTACATTGGAAAAAGAAAATTAAGCATAGAAAAGTTCAGTTACTTCATCATCTTCTATATTTCCCTTAACCATCTTCTATGCAAATCCATTCATCAGAACAAACTTCTCAAAAGTTCAAAGCTTCTTGAACTTGAGAACAAGACCTCTGCATCCTAACACCACTAAGGCTAGTCCTCGACGCCATAAGTTCATTAAGGGAAAGCCTCTTCTTTGGCCCCGGCTCTGGTCTTTGCTTCGGAGCACTGTGGGACCGTAATTTCGCCCTAAAAGACTGAGTGTTTGCCATGTAATTAGGATAGTTCGAGTAAGGCCTGAAGAAGCTGTCTGCACATACGCTCTTTGCTGGTGTCACCGGAGCGTCTGATCTTCCAGAATTTGCAAACCGAGGCGTGCTTTGAGCAGTGGCGAACCTGCATTCATCGCCCGTGAAGCACCACTCGAAGTCGTGCAGGTTCCGGCACTCGGGGATTGAGAGACGGGCTGGGACCGGACACGGAAGGGGTGATGAGATAGTTTGGTAATGTGGGTCTTCGCTGGAATCAGACATGGATGGGTTGGCGTTGATTCGAGTTGATCTGGATCTGGGCTTATAGGTGTCGATTTCAACTATTTTCGGACTACCATCATACACATTATATGAATTTTCAAGAGATGCAGACAGTCTCTTACTATGGAATTCACTTCTTGGTTCTTCAAACCTTTCCTGTAAACCAATCCAATGAAGATCAATTAACCATTTGAACAAATACAAGATTGAACCAATGAATGGTAATATGCATCAACTCTTACAATGGATTTTCGAGCACGAAATTCAGGATGAAAACGGTTCTCTTTGTTGATAGAACGACGAGCTCTCTGGGATCGAACAGCGACCTGAGCTCTTATAAGAGCTTGCATACTATGAAGAGTTGCAGCAGCTCGCTTTCGGACTAGATAGCCTCGAACAAGAGCTTGTAATTTTACCAGTCCTTTTAGAGCTCTAAGTGCTTTTCGAGCCTAACAATGAACCGAAATCAGATCCGATACATGAATTCAAAAATCACTTATGCAGCATTTGTTAGTATGAAATCAGTGCCTTGAAATTGAAACTCGAATTGGGTAAAAAGTAATTTCATACCATTTGAAGATTCCAAATTCAATGATTCCAAAAGTTAAAGCTAAATGCAATCTTGAGCAGTAAAGTTCAAACTAGTGAAAAGAACCAGACATTACACAGTTTTAGGATAAAAATAGAAGCAAAAAAAGAGGACTGCTAATCACACAGGAAAAAAAAACATCATCAAAAAGATGAAAACCTAATCATAACCCCAGTTCAAAATACAAACTTTCAAATTTCAAAAATCTCATACGGTATCAAACAACTGAATAACTGTGCAAGAAGTGAGAGAAAGAGAGAGAAAAGAAAACACAATCAATGGTTTGAAGTGAGAAGAAAAGGAAATCCATAATTACTGTTTGGTCAGCATGTTTCAAGCAAGGTGTGGCATTGGAAAGCAAGAAACTGGTAACCAAACAGCAGAAAGGAAGAAAAAAATGTAATTGACACTTAAATTAGGCCATTTCAACTGAAAACAGAACAGAAACAGAGGAAATCTATATGAATGAGATTAAATTGAACCGGCAAATATGAATAGATCGAAAGGAAAATGAAAGCCCACTTACCAGATAACCTCTAAAAACAGTCTGAATCTTAGCAGCAGCCCATCTCTCTCTCCCACCACCAAACAGAGTTCCTCTGCCATGGCTAGTAAGCCTCACAACCGCCACAGCCGCCTGAGCGGCCGCCACAGCTGCGTCGGCAGCGGCAGCAGTGGCGGCGGCCACAGCAATTGCGTGCTTGTTCTGCTCCTTCTCTGTCTCGGACAAGTAAGATCTCAGCCAAGCAGAATCAGTTGCCGCGGGAACGCTGAACGGAATCTGACCCACAACCCCTGAATCCCTCCCGGATTTGCCAAAGCTCCACCTTTTCTTCTCCTTGCGGTCGCCGGAACTTGAATTATCCACTCTTTCCTTCTCTTTCTTCATACCCAACAAGCCTCTAAACCACCTGGTAGCTTTCCCCATCTTCTCTCTAAAATAAACCTCTGGACTGAAAAGTCTAGAGAGAGAAATACAATATATCCTACAAACAGAAGAGAGAGGAGAATCAAGATTACTACACAAGTGATGACACAAATGTCCAAGAGGTACTTATGCTCTCCACACACGTTGCAAGCAGAGATGTGATGAGAACAGAACAGAACACAACACAGTGTGGTGGAAAAGATTAACAAAGAGCATCAAATCTTAAAATAATAGAGAGAGAAAGAGAAAGATTGAATTTTTTTTTTTAAAAAAAATTTTCAAACAAAAATTCTGACACCACCTCGTGAAGAACTGCATTACAAGACAAAAAAAGGTGTCACAGAAATAAACAGATTTGAAAAATAATTAAAATCTAAAAAAAGAGATTTAAAGCTCTCAAGTCCCAACCAATGGAACAAACAAGAATTTACAGACAAAATATCAGCAAAAGTGATATGGGTTTTAGAAAGAGAGTAATCATTACAGTGAAAACTCATAAAGAACACCTACAAAAAGCACAATCATTTTCCTCTCTCTTGCTTTCTCTCACTAGAACACATTTCTTCTCTGGTCAAACAAGTAAGCAGAAATTACAGACAAAATCCAATGAAAGCCATAGAAAAAGAAGTAATCATCACACAGAGAAAAACTCAAAAAGGTCTCAAACACACCTTCTGAAATTCAAAAAAGCACTCAAATCTCTCTTCCTCCAATGAGAAACTCTCAAAACCTACAGAAAGCACTACCAGTTTCCTCTTACTTCTCTCTCTAAATTCTCACTTTCTCTCACTACCCTGTATATATTTATATACTACAGTATAAATAAATACTATATATATATATATATATATATATATTGCTTTCTAGAGCAACGTGTACTAAAAATGAAAGAACCCACCTGGGTTCTCAACCGCTGACAATCTCGTGAATCTCTTTGAAATTTTTTTAATGGTTTCTCTCTCTAAAACTCCACAACCACAAAAACCCCTTTTATTAGTTTCTTTCTTTTACTACCATTCTTTGAATCTGTAAAGCGCTTCAACTCTGTTGCGCCTTTTCTCGAACATTTAAAGCCCAAAATGAGATATATCATCAAATGGGTGTCTCAGAAACTATGATTTCTCTCTGAAACCGCCATTAAAGAAAGTCTGTGTACCGGCCAAAAAGGAAGGATAGAGAGAGACCTTTTTGATTTGGGGGCTCAGCAAATCTTACTGATACACCCAGAAATCTCTGGCATTGATTGTGCAGGAATCTCCGAGAGGATTGTGCTTTTTGGTGGAAACTGAAGAGAGGGTTGAGAGTGTGGTGTGGAACAGAGTGCTATTTGGAGGATGGGGACAACAGTAATTAAGATAGGTATGTATGTGGTATGGTGGAGAGAGACGACAATTGGTGTGGTGTATTCATTTTTTTCTAAATTTAGAGGCTAAAAGGACTGGTATTCAATTTCCTAAATTTGGGGCTAATAATTTTGTTTTTTTTTTTTTCTTGGTTAAAAGGCTAATAATTTTGTTGCCATTATATATGGATACCATAAAATTGGACGATATGGAAAATGATAAAAGTTCGGCTACATTTTACAAATGGTCCGCTAATTACTCTCTCACCAGTGATGTAGCTGTTTACATTATGATTTGATTTTTGAAATTTGAATGAGCTGATGTAAAGTTTGATGTTATCCATGATAAATATTACTGACATTTTCAATTTTTTATTTTTATATATTATAATTTTTTTAAATAATAAAATTTAATATTGAATCCAAAAGATTTACTTATCTCTAACTTCTTCGCTCTAAACTTTTATCTTTTTTTCCTTATTTCTCATGTACTTTTCCTCCTCTCTTTTTACAATAATATCCCTCATCTCTTCGATTTTTGATACTTAAGCAGATTTGTTGGAATGAATTCAAACTTTCCTTTTTTAATTTGTTTATTTATGCGACAAATAAAAGAGCGAGACTATTCACTAACTTGTATTGTATATAAATAACTAATCGAAACATTCGGTTACACAGTAACAAATTGGTACAATTATCACTGTTCTTTTCTAAATAAGATTCTATTATTATTTACCTTAAATTATTCTATAGTCTTTTATCATAAAATTGTATATTTTGTTTGTGGGTTGTGATCATTTTTATTTATATGATTGAATATGTCTACAAGAAAGTGAAAAGAAGAATAGTTAAACTATTTCAATTTTTAAAGGGGCCATTGATGAATCGTTACAACCATGGTTCGCCAATCATGATCGCGATGTAATACACTTGGACAAAATAAGTATAAACTAGTATATACGAGTCGTGTATCAAATTTAAAAGTGGTCGCGTATCAGTCAATACATCACGTATCGGATGATACGACAAACCATGGTTACAACTAATAATCAATACTTAGAAAAAAAAAAAGAAAAAAGAAAAAAAAAAAAAAAAAAAGGAGATGGAAATTCAATAAGTGAAGGGTTAATTTAATTATTAAAAAAAAAAAAAAAAAAAAACCTTAGGAAGCCAAAGGTAAACACTAAAAAAATTGGGGATAATTTCATAAAATTAGAGTTTTAGGGATCAAAAGACAAAAGAATGGAATAAAAATCAAAATTTTCAAATTAATGGAATTTTTTCAAAATTTGACGTGGACATGGAAATTTATTGTACATCATATTTTTATTTCCAAAATACCTTTCTATTGTTATTATGAAATTATGATACTACCCTTCCTATCTAGAGAGAGAAACCCATCTATGACAACTCTTCTTCCCAAATGAACAATCAACAAACTTGAGAAATTCATCCAAAACTTCTGGTCATTTACACTTTTCTAATGATTAAATGGATTTTTGTTTTTTTTTTTTTTTTTTAAACGGATTTGCTGGTTAGGTGGGTGAAAAAGAGACCAATCAAAAAGAAAGATTTGTTTTTGCCATTGCAGATGAACACATTCAAAAGGGGCTGGTTTAGGGATGTGAGAGAGATTGATGATGAAATTGGTTTGCTGTTTTTGCTTGCTTTAGAGCAACTTCTGGAACAATTGAAACTTCTAGTCTTACGGGTGTTTGGTCACCTCCATGCCCTGCGAGAACCTACTAAAAATATTCCACTACACTGGAGAGAGGCCTTTCACCCAAAGAAAAGAAAAAAGCTCGAGGCATTCAAGCACATGAGTCAAATGTAGAGGCAGAAAGAGATCCATAACAATGAAGGGTATTTTGGGAATAAAAAGATGATGTACAGGAAATTTCCATGTCCACCTCAGACTTTTCAAATTTTTATTAATTTGGAAAACTTAATTTTGACTCTATTCTTTTGTCATTTGACCCACAAAATTCCATTTTTATGAAATTATCCCAAAAAATTACCCATCAAAAAAGAGTTTATGATTGGATTTTTTAAATTTGAATGAGTTGATGTAGAGTTTGATATTATCCATGATAAATATTAATGGCACCATAACTATTGGCCCAAAAGATTTACTTATCTCAACTTTTTTTTTTTTTCCTCTTCCTCATCTCAGTCATTCCATGTATTTTTAGTCTCTTCTAGCGTTAATAACATTCGGTTGGGTAATTCACAACAACAAATTGATACAAGTATTACTACTCTTTTCTAAATCAGATTCTATTGTTATTTACCTTAAATTATTTTATAGTCTTATTAATTTTTTTTAATCATACAATTGTATATTTTGTTTGTGAGTTGTGATCATTTTTATTTATATGATTGAATATGTCTACTAGGAAGTGAAAAGAAGAATAGTTAAACTATTTCAATTTAAAAAGCGGCCATTGATGAATTGTAACAACTTACAACTAATAATCAATACGTAGAAAGAAAAAAAAAAAAAAAAAAAAAAAGAAAAAAGAAAGGATGAAAATTATATATATATATAAATATAAACACCTTAGAAAATCTTAATTACAAGAAGGTAAACACAAAAAAATTACCCATAAAAAAACAGTTTATGATTTGATTTTTGCAATGGGTAAAGTGCCAAAAAAAAAAAAAAAAATCTGTACTATCGATATGATGTAATGACCTGGTCATTTTCTTCCATTCCTTTTTCCTTAGGATTTTACAGATGAATTTTTTCGTTCGTTGAAATTTCTTTTCTGAGTTTGGTTTCTCGTCACTTAGTGTCATCTCGAGTGCTCGGAAATGATTTCTGAGACTCTTTCCTTTGGATTGATAACTTCCTTTAAGGACTAAGCTATTTCCACATTTTTCGTTTTTCGGCACTATTCACTTTTAGTCTTTTTCCCTGTTTTGTCCTCTTCCCTATTTTGTCTTTTCCCCGTTTGTCAATTGGTTGGCATAACCTCACTCCTTGTGTTTGGAGCTGGTTTTTGACTTCACGTATCTTCATTCTAAGTAATTTCCACGAAATACGTATCTTTACTTTTGCAGAAAAGTACTTTGGTTGCTCCCGGTGTCCATAGGGGCATGGATGCATAGTTTTTCAGAATCTTTTTCTTTTCTTGGGGTGTTTTTCATAAATATCTTTCGAAGATATTTTATTTTAGGGGTATCTAAGAAAATATCTTTTGGAAGATATTTTCATTCTGGGGCAGTTTTGCAGTTAACCATTTTTGTAGGGGCCATTGTGCAATTAACGGAAGTTATTGCAAAATACCTTGTTTTGAGCCTGGATTATCGTACAGGATTCGTTTTCACATTTCTTCGATTCGTGTACTTATAGAATTTCTTTCTGGTTATTTTTCTCCAGTTTCAGGGTTTCTGGCCTCGGTTGTCGCTGAACTTGTTCGGGGCATATCTCTCTGCTCGGGACTTGGTTTTTGACGCCATTTCTTTCGTTATTCATATTTTCTCATTTTGAATCTTTTTCATTCATGGAGCTTCACCGTTTTTGTAATACCCCTAATATTTAAAAAGATATAGTTGGAATTTAAATTAAATTTTATTTGAATTTTCTTTTCATTATTTGGATTTTGTGTTTTGTGTGAGTATTTGGCTATATGTTTAATTAGCATTGTTTTGTGTAAAATTAATTGTTTATTTGTTTTAATTTAATTGGATGATTAATTGGTATTTTAAATTAATTGATTATTTGTTTTAATTTAATTGATTGATTAATTGGTTTTAACTGACGTGTGTTGTATATGGCTAATATGGTTTGTAAATTAAGTTTAGGGTTTATGTTGTATAGCCGTCATATAATGAGTCGTGAAAATTAGGATTAGGGTTTTAATGGAGCCTATATATATATAAGTTGTAGGTCTGGCAAGGGTTTTAAAAAAAACAAACTTTGTTCCCGTAACTAAAGAAAAAGAGAAACAGAGAGGCTGAGGGGTAAAACATGAGAGGAAAACTGGGAAAGGCTTTCAGCAATGCAACTGAAGGTGGTATCAGGGAGGAATGAATGGTTTACTGTGAGATTGAACTGGAGCAGTGATTAGAGAAATGAACAGTCTTGGAGAAGCTCTGAAACTTAGAGACGACGATGAAGATTTCAAACCGGAATCTTAAGGCAAGTTTCAGTCTATTCCTCTCCTGTAAACTTGTGTTCTGTGCATCTTATATAGACTCCAGGAACGTAATTAAACTTTTAAAAATGGACTTTATGCATGCTAGATGTTTTCTGTAATCTGTTCTGGGGTTTTTTTTTAAAAGTTTAAACTTATTGTTGTATAAACTGTTCTGTTGTGAGTTTACTTTCTGTCGATTGATTTACACTGGAGTATGAGGGGTTCTAGGACTGTAAGAAACTTAAATAGAGTTCTAAAGATGCTACAAAGGTTTGGGGATAAAATGGAAAGCTTTGCCGAAAGCACAGAAGGCAACCGAACGAAGTAGAGATGAGTTTGGAGCAGAGGAGAAGGCTCAAAGTGAGAGAGAGAGGGCTCCAAATTATGGGAGCCGTCTCCCCCATCTTAGAGTCGGCTCCAAGGGGTTAGGGAGCCGGCTCTAGGTAGAATAGAGCCTGCTCTTTTATTTTAGAGCAGGCTCCCTTGGTTAAGACACGTTTGGATGCATTTTTGGAGCTGTTTGGGCACTGTTTAGGCTAAGTTTGAAATTCTAAATGGTTTTAGGGACTGGAATGAGAATTTTAAAAGTATTTTCAAGGGTTTTTAATTCCTCTAATTGTATATTTTGGTTCATAGGGCAAATGGAATAAACAGTGTAAAAATAAGCGACTTTGTACGCTGCTAACGGATAGGAAGGACTAATGCGCTAAGTTTTGTTTTAAAAATTTAACGGACTATTGCATGGAATCTAAACATGATATTAAGCTATAGTAGGACTCACAATGAATAATTTATCCTACTATGCTAAGGGTTTTCACAGTGTGGGAGTTTTAAGTAATGACGCACATTGTTGGCGATTGTAAAGTATCTAGTTGTGTAAATTTAATTTAGCAACTTAGATGACTGGAGGATGGTTTTAAAATCTATGTTAGATACAGAATAGGGTTATGTATTTATTAGACCTTATTTGTGCATATGTTGGATTTTAATTAAGGAACTAATAAATTAGGTTCCATTAATTAAATGGAGATTGTTATTTTAATGGTTAAACTGTTCTTTATGTTTCAGCAACTATTGGTTAGT